GCGACAGCGACAGCGGCGTTTGAAAAATACTGTGATTTCGTTTTGGCAGTGCGCGCACAGCGACCGAGACTAACTGACTAAGTGATGATGTTCAGTCGACTGCCGACTGCGGAGCACTGCAGTGGCAATGCCAACGGGGGGTGCACAGCAGAGGCGTCGCTTTGGTTGGTTGTTGCTGCTGCCACTGTCGCAGTCGACGTCGCTGCTGCTGCTGCTGCCGTGGCTGGCAATGGTGGTGGCAGAGGCCACAGGATGCCACAGACGATGCTGATGATGATCGAGCGGCTGACTATCTGCCACCGCAGGGGTTGCAAAAGAGAGTGACACCAAAACCGAGAGAGAGGAGAACGAGAGCGAGAGCGAGAGAGAGATGGGAGAGTGAGAGCGAGAGCGTAAAAGCGGCAGAGCTGTATCTGTATCTGACTACCCTGCAGGCAGGCGCTCTCTGCTGCTTCTCTCTGCGTGTGTGTGTGTGTGGGTGCATGTGTGTGTGTGCTTGAATCTGTGTCAGTTTTATAAGCATCCACAACAACAACAACAACGTTTTGTTTTCTGATTGGAATTGAGCAGCGGCGAAGCCCTGGCATAGCTCCTGCTTCAGCTGCTGCCAGCTACTTGTTGTTGTCTGCCTGGCCGCAAAAGGATAACAAAAATACACACACACCCGCACACACTTCAATGTGTGCGTGTATATATAGCGCTCTTATTTACTCTGCACAGTTTTCCTATCAGAATGCAGCAGCACACTACTGTATGTATCTCACAGATACACGACAAAAACGTGAGCCGCATCATCAGCAACAACAACAACAACAACAGCAACGACAGCCGCAGTCGCAGTCGCAGCCAGCCGCTGCCGTCGCAGCAGCAGCTGAGGGGAGGAGCCAAAGCAGGATAATAGGGCGTGCACATCTTCGCATTCATTATGCACACATACACACACACACACACATATACACTGACAGACACAAGCGCACTGAGACACCTACACAGCGGCAGACAGAGAGCCACAGATACACAGCTGCAGATACACAAACTGAGAGATACAAATACAGTTGGCTGCTGTGCGCCTGCTGTCTCGCTCGCACACACCTAACTTATTTGCGGTTTGCTGTGTGTGTGTGTGTGTGTGTATTGTGGCATGGCCAACCCCACTGCGCCCACACACACACACACCGGTAGCTCCCCCTGCTCCTCCTGCTCACTGCAGACCATTTGCAGTCAGACACTGCCAAGTTTCTGGTTTGTGGCTGCCCCCAGTCCCACCTCCCCCTGCTCCCCTTAGGGGGGTTGTACGTGTGTGGGGGTTGGTTTTACTTGCTGCCACCTGCGTCTCTTCCTGTTCCAAAGCGTGCGCAATAAGCACACATTAGCCTAATGGCTGTGTGTGTGTGTGTGGGTGTGGGTGTATGTGTGTGCGTGTGTATTGGCCACAAAAAAATACTCACGGCAATAATTGAAAGCGACTGCGTTGCCTTTTGGCCCGGGGGCTTTTTCTATTGCGCTTTTTGCTTTCTTTCTTTCTTTTTTTTTTTGCCACTGCCTTTGCCTGTGTGGCGACCCCAACAAGCGAAAATTCACGGTATATGTGTGTGGGTGTGTGTGTGTGTGTGCGGTTAGGCTATGTACATATAAGCTGGATTCCCTTTTTTTTGGCTCTTGGCTTTTGTTTGCAACTTAATTTAGTATCTGTCGTCGAAGTTTACGCCACACAGACACACACACACACAGACGGACCTAACAGGTTGTGCTGCGTATCGGGCATACATACACACATACATACATATGTATATGGCGGCTTTGTTATTCGTGAGTCGATTCGTTAGGCTGTTGCCAACAATTAACACGTACTTAAAGATATGCGCATATTAAAGGTGTGAAGAAATATTTTTGCAGAGTTTTCATTCATTTAACAAAGAAACACAGATTATAAAAAATATATATATATATTTACAAAATATATTTTGTGTAATATATAAACAGTCCAATCAATAATAATTCTTTTTCTTAAAAAAATTTATAAAATATAGACAAGAATAATATAATTATATAAAAAACACAATATATATTATTTCTTATATGCAAAAATTTCTAATTAATAATCAAATTGAAAAAAATAA